AACTGGTGCTCCAAACTCTTCAAAAACAAGCGGAGAGACATGAATTTACGATGGCACAAATATCCGACAGGTTGGCTGCCATTGAGATGCGAGGTACCGGAGATACACACCATAGGGTTTCGAGTGTTCAGAGTGCTGATCATGATGTGGATGATGAGGGGTATCATTCTAACACCTCATTCCGATCAAGGAAAAGCCACAGGGAAGCGAGGGAAGGCCGAGACCGACCTAGGAGAACCGATGACAATCTTGGTTCCATCAAGACTAAGATGCCTACCTTTCATGGGAAAAATGATCCTGAACCTTATTTAGATTGGGTTAGGAGAGTTGAGCAAGTGTTTGAAGTCCACAATTACTCTGAAGAGAAAAAGGTGAAACTTGCGGCTATTGAATTTGAAGATTATGCATCCATTTGGTGGGAGCAAGTATGTGCCACAAGGAGGAGAAATAGGGAACAACCAATTGACACTTGGGCTGAAATGAAGCAAGTGATGAGGAAACGATTTGTACCCTCCCATTATACTGCGGACTTGTACAATCGGCTCCAACGAGAGAACGAATCTCTCAAGAGGAGGGGTTCCATGCAATCTACCTCTTTAAAGCCGATTTATGCAAGAGGTGATAAGAAGGTTCATTCAGCATTTTCTAAGACTAAACTTAGAGTTGAACCACCTCATGCGGAGTCATTTTGGGAGACATATCAACGTCTTCTACACCAAAAACAAATGGAGTCAAATGGATGCTATCAAAGTGAGTTTTCTAATAAGGAGATAGCTGACCCTATTCCCAACAAATGAGTATCTCATCCTATTGAACCATTTGTTGAGGAGGTTGATGATGAGAAAACAATCGAGGGCGTTAAAGTAGATAAAGAGATGGAAAAATTTGATGAGATGAGTGGTAAAAAGGAAGAAAAGAGAGAAAGTGAGACGATTTTGAGCAAAAATGTGAGGGCTTATTGTTTTTCTAACGAACTTACCTTTGCTTTATTTAGTGTTTCTTCATTTGTGCAGATTAAACAAAGTCAAGTGAAGTTAGTCATGCCATGCTCCCTTCCAAAGTCACTTGTACAATTCACTAGTTTCCATGGAGTTTGTCTTTTAGGAATTAAATCTATTTGGGATCACCTCATGGAACAATTTCAATTCAAATCTGTCCATACCAAAGGGGAATCAATTCAAACCAACCATGAAGGGAGAATTCCAAACTTTGACTCTCATTTACTACCTATGGTTCATTCTTCATCTTTACCTTCTTTTGAGTATAATTTCCATCATAACACTTGTATTTCTTATCCAGATTTTGAAAAAAAGTGTAAAAGGCTAGCAATGCCTTCTCAAGTTGAATCAATTGGTGGAAGGAATAATGAAGTGGCAAAGGGAGTATTCACATTTAAAACTTGTTCTTTACCTTCTTACCATTTAGTTGATGATGTACCATTACTTCTTTACCCAATTTCTAATTTGTTTCAAGTTGAAGGTTATTTTGTTTTTGTAGGTTGTAAAGCTGTCCAAAACTTTTCAATTTTGATTAAAGACTTACAACCTGATTTCGTGCTTATTCCAACTAAAGGTGGTGATCTTTCATGCTTAGTCACACAACTAAAAGCTGGTGGCCAAGTGCTCAATTTGTCAACTTCAACTTGTGCTAGTTCGAGTAACCCTCATGAAGTGGAATTCAATTGTTTGCTACCTTATATGTTGGAAGAAGAGAAATTGCGTGTCACGCAAGATCCCAAAGCCGTCCTCCACGAGTTGTTTAGTGCCTCATCCATGCAACAACATGCTCACAATTTATCCATGCAAGATGATTCAAATCAATGTCAACTAGTGCTGGATTTTACACCTTTGCACAATCAAGGTGTCAATGTGAAGATCCATGACCAAAGACTAATTAGAGAGTTTTTCATTGCCACTTGGAATTTTCACATGCCTTACACAAGCTCTTTCCTACCTTGGCGCATGTTCTTGTTTGAGAGCTTCTCGAAGCTGACCAAACGACATGCAACATGGCTTGTAGTCATTCGTCTACTTCCAACATTGCTGTCCTTTACGCGCAGCATCGATTTGTGGACAACTCACTTTCAAGAGGAGACTTTGAAGATTCGAGGACGAATCTTTTCGAGAAAAGAGGGAATGATGCGGATACGGGTGTGCAATAACTTCAACCTTGGGGCAAGGATCCTTTGATCAACATTGGTGGTCCGATGACAAGATCAAGAACCAAGAAGGTGAAGGAAGCTTTACGAGCCTTGATCATTCACCATACAAGTAAGGAGCAAGCTAGGTTTGAAGATTTGATGGACCATGAAGTTACTTTGTTCACTTGTACGTTTCAAGCGAAGGAATGATCTCATACTTGTAGCTTAGTTGGTAGTTGTTTTAAGACTGTCTAGTTTAGTAGTTGTTAGGCGTTGAGTATTTTATTACTTATCGGGCCTTATCAGAAAGGCTTAAAGAGCTAGCTCTTTAAGCTGTTTTATGCGGACCGAATCTCTTCCAGGTTTATGTGGGCCGGATTTTGCCCTAGTTTTAGCCTATAAAAAGGCACCTCTTGTAAGAGTAAAAGACAGACAATTACAACCAGAAATCGTGAGGAATTTTCCTTCAAGTTCTTAATCGAACTTACTCTTGAATTCTTGAGTTCATTGCTTAGGATTCAAATCTGACTTTATCGATTAGTTTGTTCCCTAATCGTGGTGTCTCTTCATCCATATTTATTTGCTTAAGGTTGCTGATTACCTTTGTGTGTCAGAGGTCTTGAGTTCATGAGAACAATCGAGTTCAGTTTCTGTTGGGAGAAAAGATCCAACTCTGATAATTACAAGGTTAGGAGGTTCTAGGAGGGTCTTCCCCTAGGGTTGCCTATATCAAGAGAGCCGGGCAAGAGGGAGCAAAAATGAAGACCAACTTCAGCCAAAACAAGATAAGAATGAAGGAAAAACAGCCGGTCAAACCTGGCTGCTGAGACGACACGTCACAATCCTGCCAGAATCTAGCCGGATTTTCGGCCGGATTCCAGGCCGGATTCAAGGCAGTAGCTGAACAAATTTTTTTTCAAACGGCCAACCCAATCCGGCCGGATTCACCAAAATCACTATTCACCAGAGTTTTTCTTTTTTTCTTTCTTTCGGGCGTCACACCAATGCTGCCAAGGCAGATGCAGTAGATGCCCAAAACCCTATTGCCCACATTCCTGAATTCTCATAGTAGCCCAAAATGATGTTGAAACCTGCATGATGTTGAAACCCGCATGCCTATTTGTTTAATGTCCTTTCTGACCCAATCAATGGTAAGCTATGATTTGTTGATGTCTAATTGTTTAAACTGTTTAAGCTTTTCTTTGATTGAAATGACTAAAATATACTTTCCTTTACTAATTGCAACAATCTTAATTTATGGTTTTACTCTAATTGGAAATAATTTCACGTGATAATTAGCTGCATAAGTAACTCATATGGGGTGATTTATATGCTGCAGTGATTCAATTTTGGAACGGCCAACCACTGAAGATGCTGAATATTCCATAAAATTGTCCATGTGTTTGAGCACTGAACATAGTTACCAGATGATTTTTAAAAGCATGATCGATTGTGAGAAATTCTTATTTGTGAGATATTCTTATTTGCCTGAAAATTTCATCCTACACAATTTTCTCATTATCATATTTTGTTCACATGAAAATTAAAATTTTGTGATGGAATACTCAGTTAATTGGGGATGAATGGAACATAGGTGACCATAAATGTCTCTTATTTGAAATCACAAAATTGATTGATAGTTAAGGTTAAGTTACAACTGGTGCAATTGGGTTGGCACACCATGATTAATATATACTCATTTGACTCACAATTGGGTTTGTATACTCATTTGATATTGCACAAGGCATTGTTCATTTCCTTGACTCACGAGTTGATTCATCACGGGTTCGAGAGACTAACATCTTACGACGACTGGTGAAATCTAAATACTCTTTATAACTTGCATTTTTAATGCATCTGTTCCATGGCTTTAAATTATATAACTAGTGTGAAATTGTAATCAGTAAAATTATATTTGTATGTTGGAGAAGCGAATCTTGGGATTAATAATAGCAAAACAATTTGATAAGTCGGTGAATTTCAAGGAATTTATATTGCAAGTCGCAGATGTGCCTCAATAGTCTCCACACAATAGGTATATGTACTGTAAATAAGAGTTTATGTATATTCTATCTTGGAATATAACTAAATACTAAGTTATATTATTAGGATGGTAAGGTAAAACTTGTATGTCCAATTTTCTGGTTCTCACGACAATGTATACCTCGTGTTTCAGCTATGATTGTGGTGTGTTCATAATAAAATTTCTGGAGCACTGGAATGGAAGATTAGGCATACGCATTACGGAGGTATATATATTATTTTGATTTATGGAAATTTTTTGGAAGCAAGTATTTTTATGATGACTTATGTATAACATGTGGTGCTGATTATTTCAATGTTTGGATAGGACAACATGTGGAAGTATCGAGTGCAATATGTGTCTATGATGGTTGCAACTGAGCATAACGAATGGGCCGAATCCATCCTTGAGTTGTTAAATATCCCTCTCCGACAAAAAAATCAGTTGTAATAAATGATTGGCAAATATCTAGTAATTTATAGTTGTGTTGCGTAGAATTTTGTACTTGTGTTGTGTAGAATTATCTCCTTTTGGGATTACTGTTGGGAGCAAAGTTCATTAGTTATGAAGTTTTTACTACTAATGGGACATGTAGAATTTTTTGTTTGCGGTGGACAGGGTTGGCACATCACGATTAATATATAACTTCTTGTACTCAATTAAAGAGATGCAAATGGTCTAAAACTATTCTACATTGATTGCAATTGTCAAACTACTATCTAATATAAAAAGAAAACAATCATTTTAGTATTACATTGATCCAATCCAGTTCCAAAGAGTCACAAGATTTGACATCTTAGCATACATATTCATGGAATGCAATTAGCTTCTACCCATTTATATCGTAGGTAGTTGCACTTCTTCGTCGCTTATATGTATGGGAGTATTGCTCTTTGACCTTTCCACAGAAACCACAATGAGGGTCTGACAATCATTGAAACAAGCAATAAATTATTGAAATCAAATATACAGTGTTCATAAAAGCATGCCCTACAATAGTCTTGTAACAAGGTATGAATAATTCTAAATAATAACTTTAAATAAATTTTTTTAAAGAATTACTGACCATTAAGAATTCGGTAAATGAGTTGTACTTTGTCTTGCTCACAGGATCGTTAGGAATCAAAAGTGGGAGATTGTTACAATCTTGAATACGGATATTATGAGCAGCCAGTATTTGAGGAGTGATTCCAGGTTTACCGGGCTAGATTTCAGTATTGTACTGAATAAGATACAGTAAATTTGTCCAAAATCTTGATTATCCACACAAGTGCAATATCTCACTTACCATCCTACAAAGACTGCATATCTAAGTGAATAACTGGGGATGATCCAAAATTTGATTTACTGAATGACTGTTATCAAGAGTAGCACATTACATTAGTTGCAAAGTCATGCTAACACTGTGTATAACAGCAAAATAACTAATTTGCAAAATTAAATACACAATGTGTCCAATATTTAAGATGCTATGATGTACGAAAATTATGATGCAAATGTGTACATAATGTATAACAACGTGTTCAATTGAATTAACAATATGTAAACAAAAATCAACCGAAAGTAATCTAAACAAAAATCAAAATTTAGTACATACGTGACCATAAATGAATACATTGTAAAGTTATACTACAAACTTATGGGTTACTATGATATAAGACATAACTAATGCATTAAATTGAAGTAACTATGCAACAAATTTGAAAAGGTCTTTTTGTAGTGTGTACCAACTAAAATACACCGTGTACCAGAACAATAACATGATGTCAAAACTAATCAACGGGTGATAAATAATTGTAATTTGTACAATTTAAAAAATAAATGTGAGCAAATAAATTAATAATCTGTAAAAAATTTTGTCCAAAGGTGTAATCATGTGTCCAAATGATATAGTTATTTCAAAACAAAATAACCAATGGTACATGGTATCAATCAATGCGTACAACATATATATCAGTTTGTACACATAAAACAACAACATGTAAATGCTATTAAATCAAGAGATCGCCGTAATGTGTACCAACTAAAATACATCATGTACCAGAATAATAATATGATGTCAAAACTAAACAACGGGTGATAAATAATTGTAACTTGTACTATTTAAAAATAAATGCGAGCAAATAAATTAATAATCTATAAAAAAATTTATCCAAAGGTGTAATCATGTGTCCAAATGATATAGTTATTTCAAAACAAAGTAACCAATGGTATATGGTATCAATCAATGCGTACAACATATATATCAATTTGTACACATAAAACAACAACGTGTAAATGCTATTAAATCAAGAGATCACCGTAATATGTACCAACTACGATTTAAAAATAAATGCGAGCAAATAAATTAGTAATCTGTAAAAAATTTTATCCAAAGGTGTAATCATGTGTCCAAATGCAATAACAATATTTCAAAATAAAATAACCAGTGGTACATGGTATCAATCAATGCGTACAACATATATATCAGTTTGTACACATAAAATAACAACATGTAAATGCTATTAAATCAAGAGATCGTCGTAATGTGTACCAACTAAAATACACCGTGTACCAGAATAATAACATGATGTCAAAACTAAACAACGGGTGATAAATAATTATAACTTGTACGATTTAAAAATAAATGCGAGCAAATAAATTAATAATCTGTAAAAAATTTTCTTCAAAGGTGTAATCATGTGTCCAAATGCAATAACGATATTTTAAAACAAAGTAACCAGCGGTACATAGTATCAATTAATGCGTACAACATATATATCTGTTTGTACACATAAAACAACAACATGTAAATGCTATTAAATCAAGAGATCGCCGTAATGTGTACAACTAATATGTACAAAATGTGATATTACTATGTCAAAAATATATAACATGTGATGAATGTCCTATCACTAATATGTACACTTTAATAACCAATGTGTTCAAGTAAAACATTAATTTGTAACAACTAAATAACTAACAGTGAACTATAATGCACATTATGTAAAGTATAAAAATAGCTACTTACTGCCACAGAATTATTCGATGACAAACATTTGCTTGATGTTTGGCTTTGGATAGGTTGATAGGATTCTGATGACTGAAAAGAGAAGAATAAACAACAACTGAGTCGGCTTATAATAGTAGAGTCAATTGAAATGATATAGTTATGTAAGTCCAAAAATAAGATTCAGTACTAACCATCTCAGGAGTGCTTGCCTTAGACAATCTAGAGTTCTTCTTTTGCCTATGAAACCTGTCCACCCAACTACACAATACTTTCTTAGTTTTTTTGCCACTTCGTTTCTTCAAACCCGTTGGAGTCACAAAGTGGCCAGCTGCATTCTGCACCTGTATTTCCTTACATAGATCCATTGATGCACTATTCTGTGTTATTTCATCTATTTCTCCACAAAATAGTATTTCGACTCTCTTTGACAATTCAGACATTACGCTACCGACTAACTTTGTAGCGGCTTCTGACATGGCAGCTCTGGTAGCAAGTCTTACTATTTCGGGTGCTAATAGCCTATATCGATGGGAAATAGAGAGAGACAGATCTGATGATATTTCTCTACCCTTGCAATCGACGCTGCCTCCGGATCTTGCCTTCTTTGTCCACCTCTTTGTCACATATTGATCAGGAATAAACTTTGTTCCAACCATATCATACACCTTCAAAGCATGTGAGCATAGGATTCCTTTCTGCTCAAAAAGATTACAACTACAAGTAATGTCTTTAGTTATTGGATTCAATGTCACTCTTCTCTCCCTTCCTCCATCATACTGACTGACACTGTATTTCACATGCATTGTAGTATGCTTTTGGTCCAAGATCACCATTGTATTGGATTCATCGTATTTATTTTGGAATGCAACAAATATGCATGGAGAGTATATAGAAGCTGCCTGAATCAGTACAGGAGTCTATTGCAATCCCAACATTGGCAGCTTCTGTCGACTGTGATACTCAGCTTTTAGTTCATTATATCTTTTTTCATCCACAACTCGGTTAAAATGTTTGAAGAATTGAACCAGATCATGATCAAGTTTCAGATATTTTTTTATGGAAGTATTTAGACTCTCACTTAGTTGGGTGCTACGCATACCTACAGTCCAAGCACCTTTCATGAAGCATTTTGTCCATTTCTTTCAATATGCATAAATGCCACGCAACCATTCATTTGTTTCGAACTTGTGTTCTTTTAGCATCGCATCCCAGGCCATAATAAACTCATTTTTATCTTCTATCTCATACATACATTCAACAAATTTATATGGGAGATTACTATCATCCTTGTAATAGTTCCCAAGATGTTTCAAGAAATTGACTCTAATATGAAAATTGCACAAACCATGGTATGTTAAAGGCATAACAGTTGAAATTGCAGCGGCCATGGCTACATCCTGATTTGTGAAGATGGTTTTTGGGTGCTTTCCACAAACTGCCTCTACAAATGTACCGAACACCCACTTGAATGATTCAATGGTCTCATCATACAATAGAGTTGCTCCAAAAATAACCAATTGTCTAAATTGATTGAATCCCACAAATACGCCCAATGGTCTGTACTCCTTGTTAGTTTTGTATGTGGTATCAAATGTAACCACATCCCCAAAATAGGTATAATCCATCAGCATTGATGCATCAGCCCAAAATATATTTGTAATTTGTTCTTCACAATCAAGCTGCTCTGCGTGGAAGAATGACGGATTTTCTAATTTTTGTTCTTCAAAGTATCGTAGCATTGCACCAGTTTCATCATACTTTAATCCCCTCTCTCTTTTTGTTCGTAGATAGCGTTTTAAGTCATCATGAGTGTAGTCAATATTGCCTAATCCACCTGCCTCTTTTCCCATGAGTTCATGGGATTGTTTCAAGGATATTCCTGCATCATTTGCAATCTCAGCTTGGGCTCCTTGAAAAATACTTACTTTTCTTTGCGAACGCATCATATGAGCACATTCTGAAATGTGTAGTGTGTGATTATGCTCGATTACCAGATCTCGAACCTGATACTTCATTGTTTCTCTGTTCAAAATTATCCTCATTTTAGCTTCACATCCAGTTTTTGTTTCACCCCGAGTTCTCTTTGGTTTTACATCTCCTTCGTATCGTCGTTTGAAACCTTCTTTGCAACATGTGTACCTTCTCGATGTAACTACACTGTCTTTATCCTTGTTCAAATAATCTTTCCGAACACTGAACCCAACAACTAATCCGTACCTATTGTAGAAGTTGTATGCCTTATCTTCTGACTGAAACTCGATGCCGATTTTAGGACATAATGCTTCTTCCATTATGTTGTATTCGACAAAAGCATTTTTTGCTATTGTTTTTCAGGACAAACTATTATATTTATTTTTATTTCCTTATTCACATCATAAGCACTTAATTATTTGTATTCACATATGTACATACATTATAACGACGTGTACACACTTTACAACATTTTGTAAAATAATTTTTATGGATATGTATCTTCTCTGTAATAGGTAATCATAATTCTAATAATTTGCATAGTATATTTCACTATATAATATATACATTTCAAACAAATATTATAACCAATTTGTGTATAATATCAGTATTTATATACTTTACAATCATATGTACACACTTTATAATAATGTGTACACCCTTTATATCAACTTGTAATATAACAAATGCATGTATGTAAAATACACTTTTACATAGCGTAAGGTTTGATAGAGTTCTCAAAATCTGTACATTGTCATTTATACCGTTTGTGTAGTTATTTAAGTTGGTCACATTGTTAAGTTGTTTTTACGCTTATGTTATTTTATTTGTACACATTCTCATTTATATTTTGAAATTTGTACGGGATCTTTATTGTACAAGTTAACCATTCTCTGTAAAAGGATAGTGACATACTTCTTATAATTTTCAAATCATGATTCACTAGATAACACATTTATTACAATCAAATTACATATAATATTAGCATTTACCTTGGACAGAGTTCACCATGCAGTGGATTTCAGATGGGCTGCTCACAAGTCTCGGCTATGCATTTGTTACTCGATGAATATCTATCTCAGTCATCCACAAGTTAAATCGGCGTGTATTGTTGCTGTAACGGATCTTCATAATTATCTTGTGCACACCTTAGACAAGATGCCCGTTTTGATAGGATTTATTTAAGAGTTGAAAGAGAAGAAAACAAAGATTTATGTCTATGTTGTGCGAAATAATTTGTTAAGAGGAGAAGAACAGAAGGAGTTGCAGTGACAATGTATTGTGTTCAAAGAAAACCCACAACCGCCATTTTCTTCCCACCTCTTTTAAGTTGAAAGAGTTTTAAAGCCCGCCGATCGTACCAAAAGTTTATTTTCAAATTTTGATTTTGAATTTTTCATACCCTTAACGGCCAGACCAAACGGAGTTAAAAGTCAAGTTTCTATTAAAGCTACAATCCTCTACACTCATCTCCATTTTGTTCCCCAAATTTTTGGCCGTTGATGATGGGTCCATCACATCTTGGCCATGAAAAGTTTCTGGACGGTTGATTGACAACCGTCCTAGCCCCTGGTCCGTATATCTTCTACTAGAATTCTGACCCCACCGGTCCCCATTTCAAATCAAAATAGCAGAATTATTTTTTTAGTGTCAATCACTATCAAAATGGTGTTATTTTGAATAAAAGCAAAGGAAAAAAAAACCAAGGTTATTTTGATATTACCGTTTGACAAAAAAAAAAAGCAAAGGAAAAAAAATCCATACCCATGCACTTGAAAGAAACTATGAAATTGCCTGGAAATTGTGTTTAATTGTCATCCTTTTTTTTTTTACAATTGCTTATAAAAATTTGTGCTATTTTAGAAAAATTCCTTTCTTTCATTATATATTGTAGCATGAGAATTTTGTATATTTTTAAATTACCTATGATTGCATGAGTAATAGAAAAAAATCTAATTCCAAATGCGTTATTACACAATAATTGATTTCAAATAATTAATCTTCAATAAAAGATAAAGCAATTAGCAAAATTAAATAGAAAAATGCCCAAATAAGGTCGAAAAAATATACCAAACACACTCATCACTTTCGCTCTCTTCTTTCCTCTCTACCACCTCTTCTACCTTGTAATTGCACCATTTCTGGTACTCTTCCCCTTCTTTTTGCCATACTCCCCTCATCTTGTAACTTTATCTCTTTCATTTTCCCTTCCCTTCCCTTCCTTCATTCTCCTTCCCCAATACTATATGTCTTAATTTTCTACTCTCTTCTTACCTAACAGACCTATTTTTTCCTATCCTCCCAATCTTTTCCTTACCCCTATCCTACAAGTCGCGTATCATTGCTCTCCCAGTCAATAATCTCATCTCCTACTTGCCCTTGTAATTTTATCTATTACTCGCTTGAGACCCTTCTCCCATATTACAAATTGCCATCCTTCCACCTCTCAACTCCACTTTTTTTTTGTTCATTACCCATTTATATATAATGCATATATACATGTGTGATTTATCTAGTTATACAAATTATTAGAGTTTTATGTATGCTTACTCGAGCTCAATTGGGCTTGAACTCACGTTCATATTCAAATTAGTCTTATTAACAAGATATGTATATATATATATATATATGAAAAATTCTTTAATGCTGTTATTATTTTCAAGAGAACCATATCATTATTTTTAAACCAATAATAAATTGCCATCTGAGAGGTTTTAATTTGATGGTTGTGTTTTTAGCAATTTATCCACAAACTTATGAGTCAGTGTTTCTAGAGGGGTTTTTGAACAAACTTTACTATAACTATGTGGGTAAAATTTCTAAGTGAACCAAGTTATTTAGTAGATTACCTTGGGCAAAATCTACAACAACACAATTATTTTATTAATGACTTAAATACCATTTTTTTTGTCTATCTAGAAGGGGCATATATATCTAAACTATTTTATTAAACATCCTAAACTTTTAATTAAATTGTTGTACACGAGTTCGACCTAAGAGCTTAATCACATTGCTTGGTTAATACCTAGTCAAATCGTTTCAAGAACTGAGCTAACTCAATAACGCTAACAAGCCCACTTAGTTTTGTTTTTAGTGCCAAAAATGACTCTAGGGTGTTTGTTTGAGTCAAAATATTGCAAAAGGTTCTTTCAATAAACAGGATATGGAGATTCACCACTGAGTGTGTTCCCAAGTAGCTTAGGTCAAGTACAAGCTGATAGACCAAGAACTCCTATCCAAACACCTTCAAGTACGGAACAGCAATATATAATTAGGATCTCATCTTCCGTGATGACTCCCATGCTCAAGTCAGTACAAATTATTCACAATCTAAAGAGAGAATATGTGGACTTGTTCATTATTACCTTGAATAAATAGACTATGGGGAGTATTTATAGATTGTGAAAAGAAAAGATGACCGATGTCCTAGATGTAAGATTCTAACAGCCCATGTGAAGGGATAGATCATGCATCCCAACTACGAAGAGATGTCGGGAGGCACTTGGAGCTCTGGAAAGAGCTCTACAGTGCCGAAGTATTGGGTCGCCACAGAGAACTTTGCAAGAGACTGACTTGAGCACAATACTTGACCTCCCTTGATAACTCTTTACGTTTTTTTTTTTTTTTTGGAAACGATAATCTGATAACTCTTACTTAATTGGATAAGAAGTGCTTCATACAAATGTAGGGTTACAATCTGAGACCTTGTTTGGCAAGCAAATTTTTGGCCAAGATTTTCTGCTACAAATTTTTTTTTAACAACTTTAACTACAGTAATCTCAAAAAACTTTTCACAAATTTTAAACTATACACTTTAAAAAATCCAAAAATTTACACACTTCAAAAAAAATTTTTACAACTTCTACAGTAAAATTTTAGACAAACACTCAAAAAACTCACTTGCCAAACGGGGTCTAAGAATGGCTTATCTGCGGAGGCTAAGCTGGATTTTGTGATAAATTGGCTCCAAACCTTAGTTTTGTAGCAAATATATCCAAAGCCCATTACGTATCGTTGAGATATAAGACACCTTCATGACTAGGGATGTAATCGAGCCAAGTCAAGCTCGAGTATTGCTATACTCGAGATCGACTCGACTCATATATACCTAGGCTCGATCTCGACCGAGTACAAAAAATCGATACTCGAAACTTGACTTGAGAAACTCGCTTTAAACTCGAGACTCGACTCGATAAGGCTCGACCTTTAGTCAAGCCTTATCAAGTCGAGCTTAATCAAGTTTTTTGACTCGACTCGACCAATTATGTTATTACTTTTTTGTCATTATGAAATTTTATTATAAAGAAGAGTTTATTGTAAATTCCGTAAAACTTATATTCATAATGGTCATTTTATAATTATAATACATATATATTATTTAAATTATAAATATATTATTTAAATACCCTCGACTCGACGAGTAACTCGACAAGTCTCGAGTCTCAAAATATTGGATCGAAACTCGACTCGAATGACAATCGAGTAGCTCGAGACTCGACTCGAATTCGGTCAACTCAAGTTCAAACCAAGCCGTTGACCGAGCTACTCGTGAGCTACTCGATTATGACTCGGCTCGCGTACATCCTATTCATGACCATCTTAACACCTTTTATCTGCAAAGGAGGCAAAGAGGTCGACTATCGTAAACACCTTTCTCGCAACACCTTATTACATTATCTGCAAAGTTAAAGAGGTAAACTATCTTAACAGCTTTATGACTTGAAAAGATATAAACGATGTGAACAAGGGCAGAAGGGAAGATAAAAGAGGCTCCTATGTCCGGGTTTCAAAGGTCATTGAACAAAACAAAAACTGCAGGATTTGCAAGGCTATTTCAGCACCAAGAAGCCAGCTCAACAAGTCTTTCTTTCAGATTGCATCCTTGAAGAATTACTGATCTACTCAAGCCTCATCTTCCTGCCCTAAATCTCCATTCTTAATATTACTCGAGGAGGGACTGGCGAAGAGTTCAGCTTTGAAGCTTTGAACATGAACCGTCTAGAGGGTAAAGAAAGATGAAGAACTCCTCATTTGCTTCTCGGCTTCCTTTCTCCAACAGATGTGGATAAATTAGCGCCCCTTATTCTTTCAACTTTTAGAACACCAACCCCAAAAGTGACTGTAATTGCCTTAAAGCTACCTGCAGCTTCTTCCATATCGAGCATTGACAAGGAATTAGAGCTTATTCGACCAAAAAATTTTAGCCAATAATTAACTCACTGCCACTTTCTAATACCAACCAAAAGAGGTCTTCAGTTTTCGGTTCATGTCAACTGCAGAAAGTGCATCAAATTGCAAATCCTGCACTTTTAGATGCTAC